GCGACCGGGGTTTACAGGCACCGGAGGTCCGGGATGAAGTTGTCGAGGCAGGAGAAAGAGAGACTTGAAGAAGGTTTATTTGCATTATGTAATTAGTGAGCTCTCGTACATGACGAGCTCCTTCTTACAAGGCGAGCTTTCGAATCTGGCGTTCCTCTACATGGCGCCCCTTCGAATGAGCCGGGTAGCTCATTATAAAGGGTATGTACTCCCCAGATCCCTAGAGCAGGGAACACGTGCAGAGGTTACTACTGTCCAATCACAGATCACACACAGCCGGCGAGGGTGAAGAGCATGCACGGCCCACGTGAACGTCCAATATTGAGCCGTGATCACTGCAATCCAAGGTGGTGCCAGCAGGGCTCTTCCTCGTCGTGTGTGTGCCGCTGGTCGAGGGGTCCCAAGCTCATGACAGCATACTTCAAAGAGTCCGCCGAACTGCTCGCTTAATTAGCGGGGCGATTTGCGGTGGCCGCCGCGGTCTAAGGAATATGCTGCATTTGTTGTCCTCTCTCGAACGGCTTACCGCGCCGTGGTGACACGACGTCTCACCCTCCGTCTAGGAGGGACAATGCCTGGCGGACAAAGGCAGCCGGCCGGTCGGCTACTTGATTGAAGATCCAAAGAGCGCCGCTCCCTCGTCAGCTCTGGCGCCAGTCACATCACGGCACAGCCGTAACGCACGTGCCGAGACCCCTGCGCACGCAAGCGGGGGTCTCGTGCGCAGGTGTCTGGGCACGTGCGTTGCGGCTGTGCGGGAAGCGCGTGGAATGGCCCTAAAGGCTTTAAGCCGGCCTAAGCTCGCAAGGTTAGAAGTTCGAAACCACGCCAGGTGTCTTTTTTTAATGGACTTTCAAACAATCAAGACAAGGCCAGGCGAGCTACGAGTGATGTGAAGTTGACAGCTGATAGACGGTCAAGTGGAATTCTACAGCGCTAAGAAAGTACAACAGAACCCCCCACTTAGATATAGCGCAGCAACCTGGCATGCAATGACAAAGTTCGGTTAAAATGCAGATGCTGGACCACTCCCAATCGTATATTTACTTGAAAAGCGTGTGAAGGAGCCGTTAAAAAAGGGGTCTCGGGTACGGCCTCACTGGCGACCTTCTGCCGGTAATGCACTCCCTCACCAGCGCAGGATTGGCCACGCTGGTGCAGTATTTGGCCACTACCTCCCTTATAAACGTACCAATTAACCGTTGGCCTTCAGTCCCCAGCGGCTGCGAAGCTACTGTCCAAGGTGGTGGATAGACCCGCAACGCAGCGGAGGGCGCTAAGAATCTCTGGGTCCGGACAGGCCGCCATTGAGATCTGAACTTGGCTACGTTCAACGCTAGAACTCTATTTAGTGACGCTGCTCTTGCTGTGCTATTCGAGTTATTAGAGCGTGTTAAATGGCATGTAATAGGACTCAGCCAAGTTAGGAGGAGACGTGAGGCCTATTCGCGGCTAGATCGGGCTATAGGTGGCAGCACTGGACCGCGAAGGTGTACACGCAGCGTCGCTTCATTGCGTGCGGTCTGAGCCGATTGGCGGCACATGATATGCGTCGACTACAGTTTACTGCTAATATCATGATCTTCTCTACTGAATCGGTGCACGACTCCTATGCAACGTTAACATTACCAGCGAGTTAAGCGCATTCTGCCTTTCATTAGGGGTGCTCGCACTGGGTGACTCTCTTCACGCTTTCGCACTAGATCACGTCTTCACTGTGTTGTTTGTACGTGGTCATCCGCCTGCTACGCACTGCTGTAGCGTGACTGAACTACTTAGTTACATCTTTGTCATCTACATATTACAAAAAAAAGAGAGAAAGAAAGATCGTAGAAAGCCCGCATATCTGTGCTATTCGTTCAGCCGTTCGCACCTTATACGCATGTGATCTTGTCTTCTCATTCTGTTCACAATTAAATGTGGGACAATCGATAAGTCTAATAAGGAAAGCTTAGTGGCTGACCGCGCTTTGCTCTGCACTGCGTTTACCACGTGTACGCACATGTTCTCGGACCAGTGAAAATGTTATACAAGAGTTCAGCAGAAAGCTTTCATCGATGGATTACGTTCTTGACGGTGCTACAACAATGGCCTTGTCAATGGGACAAGCATGTATTTTAGTTTTTTTAGACAAAAAATATTGCCTTCCGTCGGTCACGAACAATGCCACACAAACGCTGAAAACAATGTAAAAAAGATGAAATCATCACTGTAATTATGCAACATTATATAAAGGGCATGCCGTCTAATTTAATTTTCAATGTCTGGGCTTTTTAATCTAAGCACACAGTTGCGCACGGTAACTATGTTTTTGAGCACCGTTTAAGTACCGAGGCCTCACAGTTTATGTAATAGTAATATATCTATGTAGTGGTACAACGGCCAGATGAACACAACTAAGGCTCCTCGCACGATCGTTAAAACTACAGTGTCGTAGTTGTGCACCTACCGACTGCGCGCAAATGCATGCCTAGAGCCTGCTGTTTTTTTTTTTTTTTTGCAACCAAGTCGCTATAAAACAATGCATTCACCCAGCAATTAATAGTCCTCGTGTTTGGGAGGATGCCAAGAGCATTTTGCGACGTGATAGAAACAGAAAGCAGCACCCACTCTGAAATTATTCTGGTGAACAGATGGTACGACGAAAATAAACAGTCCTCTGGAAAGTTGCAGTCGCCGATCCTATTAATACGCATTAGCAACCGAGAAAGACGAAATGCTTTCGTACGTTGTTTCAGGCACACCTAAAAAGAGTTACACTCTCGCCGACATGACCGGACTAACCACACTTTGAGAACGTGCATGACATATGCGCGCATAGAAACACGACGTGGCTAGCAGACGACGCAAGAAGCAATCCAAATAGAACGGCTGCATTCCGTGATGAACAGCCGGCATATATGTGACTATTTTTTCACTTAGATGACTGGTCAAGTAAGCTGTTCAGTGTGACGAAAAATTTATTGCACACTGGTGGACAAATGCGAGAATCCGTAGACTTACATAGTGTAGGACAGCATATGTGATGTTGCGTCCATTTAATTGCAAAGAATTTGTGAATGACTTTTGAAATATTTGTTTCAAAATTATTTTTCATTAGTGCATAATAATTACGCAATATGAGTGCTCTGTTGGCCGAAATATGACCACGAACACTGAAGCTGACGTCAGCGAACAGGTGCTGACTAGCGCCACAGTGCTCGTAGGTGACGGCCCTAGCGGCAGAAGGTATGAACTAGAACGTGGGCGCTGGAAGAGGTGCTCTCTGGGCAGGTCAGGAGTGTAGTAGGTCATGATCCACACTTCACCATTTCGGCCTGTTGCCGCCAGGCGGCGACTCTGCTCGATCTCGCGGCCAATACAGTGCTGAAGAACGGGTACCTCCTATGCTACCATGGATTAGTTGACAGAAGAGAACTAGGGGTTTCTTGTGCACAAGAATATCGCTGGCAGCATAAAGGAATACTATAGCATCAAGTGAAAGGGTGGCAAGTGTCATAATAAAGTTTAACAAAAGATACAAGATGAGGTTGGTACAGGCCTACATCGAGCCATGATGATGATGATCATTTGGTTTAACGCTTATACGAAGACATAAAGTCAGCCATTAATAAAGTAAATACACAGTATACTATTCCGATGGGCGACTTTAATACGAAAGTAGGCAAAAGGAACAGGCCGGCGGCAATGCAATGGGGGAGTACGGCATCGGCTCTAGAAATGGAGGCGAGGGAAGCTCACAGTAAAAAAAAAAAAAAAAAAAAAAAAAGGTTCGAAAAAGAATAGATGGGCAGAGAAGGTGTTCTGTTATTAGCGGAGTAAGAGCGTTTTGCACAGCCTACCTATATAACATGCACAGCCTACCTTTGCAGCGACGACGACGAACTTCCCCCGTGGTTGCTTAACGAGACCGCTGATGGCGTAATTATGAGTCCGCAAGGACTTGTAGCCGTTTAATTGCTCCTGCGTCACGAAGTTTGCCCTGTGAACGAGACAGCCGATCATATCCGCACGGTGTACAGTAGAATAAGAGCCTACGTCGTCCGTGAAGTAGTCGTCGGATAACGCCAAGGTGTCTATCCCCTTTTGTGATGTGCCCATCGCGCACGGGGTCGGAGGGCGACTTTGCGTAGTCTCCGAAGAGCATCTTTCACTGCAGAACGTGCTGCTGCCCGCGGTCAATCGTACCATAGGCTGTGCTCGTACAAGTTCGTACGGTACGCAAAAGTAGAGACACTTCAACGCCTCAGTATTGTAAATGCAACACACGACAGCACCGAGAGTCAGGTAACGTCACAGAACACCCATTACATGTCGTTGTCAACACCCATTACATAAACACAGTGGCAAGCAAGGGTCGTCTGCTCGCAACCTCACGTGGCTCGCATGCTGCGTGAAAACCTCAAAAAATGACGCCGGGCTCGACGCACCACTGCGTCACATTGCAGCTGATTTTCAGTGCATGCCTTTTGCCATAAAAAGCAGAAAAGTAGACGGCAATGTAACATTTTTATATAATAAATTTAATTAAGCAAGCAAAACATTAAACAAACTATTTGTTTTTTTTAAATTTTGGGACAGGCCTGGTTATTTAAAGGGCACTTATACCATCCATCCACGTATCCACCTAATATATGCTTTATTAACGCTTCTTGAAAAGTTAGGTCATGATTATAGTGAACTATCAATTTTTACTTCACTCTAGCGACTATAGTCATTATGCTTGGAATGTGAGCCACACGGAGGAAGTTTTTGTTTTTCCTCCGTGGTAAGCGAATGCACTACTTTATTCTCAAAATTGCCCTTTTCTTTTGGTGCGTAGGCATGCGCCTCTAGCGGTCGTTTTTTGTAAAAGGCAAAGTTCTCACAGCTGCCTCTGAGAGTAGCTGCCAATGCAAAGTGGTTTGGTGGCAAGCGCTTCACAAGGCGCAGCGACGCAACACGCGGTGAAAAGCATGGCCTCCGAGATAGTATGTTAGCAGAAGTCGTCATGGAAAAGAGAGCGGCATTTCAGGCATAGTGCTTTAGGATGCGTTTACTCTGTTGCCAAATGGAACAGCCTCATCAGTCCACCCAGCCGTCCATGCCTCAGCAGTTGTTTTGTTTATGGTCTTGGCGTGTGTTGTGGTCGGTGGTTGTGGTGCGGTGTTCTTAATTACCTTTCATTATCAGTAGCCTTCGCCGTCCGACGTGTTTCTGACGGAATACGAGTTACTCAGCGCGGCCGTAACCTGTTGTGCAATGAAAACCACATGACCAGATCACTCTGGACTATTTTTGTGTACAAACTATAGTACAAACGATGCAGCTTGAGGCAAAGTCCACAGCGAGTGACCTGCTGATTCACACAACTTCCTCAGCTTGCGTTCGCAGCGTCTCGCCATGAGCAAGCAGATGTGAGCGGCAGTGTTGTTAAATGCAATGATGGATACCAGCTTACTGGGTGAGTCCGTGATGTCACTCGGTGCCTGCGACGTTTCCTTGCACGTCGGGAAAATACTGCGTGCACGCGATCAATGATTACCCTCAACACCCGATGTAGCATATAGGGCGTTATTACCGAAATGGAGGCAGACGTGATGAAGAAATAGCGATGTGTTGGTATAACGAATGTTATTAACTTGTTACCGAAATGGAGGCAGACTTGTGTTCAAGAGATAGCCGTGTGTTGGTATAACAATCCCCATGATTGTGTTCTGTCGTGAGCACTTTTTTGTACACCCGTTGCGTGGAAAAGAAGTTTTGCTGGTCAATATGAGCCTTTTGTATCTGACTGGTGTTGGCAGAATAAATAAAATGAAGCCACGAAAAAGTTTCCCGAAACGGGGCCTCTTAAGGGATGGTGATGTGCATCGAGTGTTCGTGGTGCGCGAGTTAGTAAGTCGCTTTCAGCCGAGTCCACTCCAAGTCGCCGGTCGCACGTCATCGCAACGTTATGATGACAAAATATCAACGTAATTTTTTCACGAGTTTCATTCCAGCTTGGTGAATTGCTCCTTCCCAACTTCGCGAACGAAGACCTAGAACGAGGAAGCACGAAAGTAGGGCTGATTACGGATATGATAAGGATAATAATTCATAGCCAAGAGAAAGCGCTCATGAACCAACCACTGCAGTCTGTGATGGAGTGTGCACATGTAGGTAAATAGCTGAAACAGACGCGTACTTGCGAAAACGAAATTCACCAAAAACGAGGATGGTTATAGCACACATGGCAGAAGAAGCGGAAAGAAGTGTCAAACCGTTGCTTGCTGCCACCACTACCATGTCGAGCAGATACTTGAAAGATACGAAAGAAACTCGTGAAGTTAAGAACCACGCAACGTGCGATGCTACGAGGAATTTAAACATAGCATTAAGAGAGCAAAGTGCTTTAGAGAGTGAACAGGGGGTTTCCATCATTTAGAATAAAAAGTGAACTTAGGAGGCATAGCTGAGGACGAACTGATTAAATGGACGCAGCTTGCACAATATAGGGTGTAATGGGGGGGAGGCCTTCGTTCTTCTGTAAACATGAAAGCATATGAAAATGGTGGCGTATAACTTCGTGTAGGAGCTTATTGTAAGCCTGTCTCGAAAATGTGCTATTATTCGAAATTTAAGCACACTGAACGGTGATAGCGTAAGGGGCCTGTCGGAGTGAAGTTTAACTGCCGGGTTGTGCCTTTGCAACGTACATGCGCATGCCCGTTTGGCATTTGCCATAATTTGGGGCACTTTGCGAAACTGGAATACACATGTTATTTCACTTGTATCATGGAACTTATGTTTCAGTTATTTAACAAAGCTTCTGTTGCTTGGACCTATGTGTTTTATGCATTCAAATACAAATGTGTAACTAAACAGTGTATTTCATAATCAGCATAAAGTGTTTAATCATTTTGGCAATCATTATTGATGTGACAGTGTGTGTGTTTTTTTTTTAATATTGTGGCCTAATTTCCTTTAGAAGTGGAACTCATATGGACTGTGAGAAGGGCTAAGTTTCAGATGGTAACGTTAGTTGTTAAAAGGGTAGTGATTTGGGCTAGTTGATACAACATAATCTTTTGTGTAATTCTACGGAAAATATAAACTTGAAAAAAAAAACACGAAAAGGGATGACAGCATAGAGCGTGTCAGCCCTTTTCATCTTTTCTCATTTTTCACACTATTATGCCAAACATTAGCTGACACTTCCTTCAGCCCCCCTCTCGTGGTTCTAACCTTCTTCACTATCTTGGCTTGTGGGACTAAAGTTCGTGACTGTGGCCCGCCAGCTGAGGTGTGTTTGAGACCGCTGCTCTAAACCAATACACAAGGTTAATGTCGAGGGATTGAACATTTTCATTGGTTGACTCCATGATAAATTCCAATTTCTTTAAGCCATTTGTAATAAAACTGGGAATTCTTCTTACAGCAACAATAATATGTTTTACTGGCTTTTGAACAATAATCGCACTGTCTGCGAGAAACATAAATGTCAGGTGCGTCTGTGAGTTATGCCTGAATTCTTTCGTCGACACGTGGTGGTTGCAATCAACGCAAACTTGATATTTTCGTGGTCAAGACTGACCATTGAAGCAGGTAGCTGTTTTTCATTCGTGGAACTGGTGTAGCATGGGCTCCAACAGAGAGCAAATCTTGCTGCAAATGCCTGGTAATGATTGCTTCATACCTGTTCTATAGACTCCTTGTGGAAGTCTGATTATGAAAACAAAGCTTGTGCATTAGTTGCTTTGTTGCCTATGGTTGGTAGCTGTCACTCTTGCCTAAGCAGGCCACAAGAAGAGCACAACACTGTGTTTTTCTAAGTCTCATGAGTGTACACTTGCTCATAGAATTGAGACAGCTGTGTGGTAGGCTTGAACATAAAATCACGGACTCGTACTTGTGGAAGGTATCAGCATCACATCAGTGCCACCAATGGCAGGCTTATTTATAGCATTGTGATTATGTGCACACACACATGCATCTCAAGTGAATAGAAATTCAATTCATGGCTGGCCTCATGTTTAAACATTTTCCTGCCTTGTTCTCTGTGAAAGATGATGTTCGCAATACATTCAGTGTAACTGCGATGTATAATGTTGAAATGTATTTGTTAACAAAAAAAAAAAACAATGACTTGATTCACCTATTAATGGCTGGTGCAGGATATTTTCCGGAAGCCAACTGCAGTGTTGGAAAGGACATTAAATGAATGGATATTTATTTCCTTATTTTAAACACTTGTCAGGCTTGTAGCCAAAGGCAAACAAAATACAAAGTAATCATAGCAAGCAAAATATATATATATATATATATATATATATATATATATATATATATATATTATATATATATATATATATATATATATATATTATATATATATATATAATATATATATATATTGCCACGAGGAATTGTTAAGGCGCAGTACAACGCAGACGTTGTTAAAAGAGGAACGCTGACGGCATCGCTACGACTCATGAAGCCCGCCGGAAGGCACGAGCCGGCCCAGCCTGTGCACGAGCTGCTACCGAGCAGCGGAAAAAGAAGAGAAGAAGAGGACGACGAGCGTTCGCTGCTTTCTCCCAGCTACTGTGTAGTTCTTTTGGCTTTGGGCACAAGTTCGCCCTTATTAAACCTTGTAAATAGGACGTCCCGGTTGTGAGGTTGTTATATCCGTTACATTTTCTGGTGGAGGTGCTGGGTACATGATTCCGAGCCCCACGCAAGAGCGAAGTCCAAGCACTGACCAGCCGCAACCAGTGGAGCTTACACCGGTGCACCAACGAGTCAGCCGCCGTATCCGAGGAGAGTTGCCAGAATTTGGGCCACTCCCTTCTGTATCAAGGGCATCGGTGACGGAGACAAGCGCCGCCACCACCATGACGAGCCAAGTTACGCCGGCACAACTCATCGTAAGCCAACCGGTCATCCCAAAGGTGTTTCATGGTGACCCATACGAGGACGCCGAAGACTGGTTAGAGCATTTCGAGAGAGTGGGAAATCTAAATCAGTGGAACGAGGAAGGCAAGCTGCGTAACGTCTACATTGCGTTGGAAGACTCTGCACGAGTGTGGTACGAAAACCACGAGGCATCTCTGACGTCGTGGCAAGAGTTTCGGCGGCAGCTACTGAGTACGTTCGCCAACAGTGATCGCCGGGAAAAGGCGGAAGCAGCTCTCCGCACACGGATTCAACGAACGAACGAAACTGTCGCGATGTACATCGAAGACATGTCCCGCCTTTTCAAGCGAGCTGATCCTGGCATGACGGAAGACAAGAAAGTGCGCCACCTCATGCACGGGGTAAAGCAAGAATTGTTCGCGGGACTCATCCGCAATCCGCCCCGTACTGTTGCTGAGTTTCGGTCGGAAGCAACACCTATGCTCACGTCGGGAATTTGACCCGCCTCGTCGTCATCAACCACGCTCACCATCCCCTATGCGCTACCGCTCGTCTAGCCCACGTCCCTTCCCAAGCACGTCTAGGCAGCGTTCGCCTAGCCCAAATCCGGGAAACTGAAGAGGGCGACCTGTGGAGGCGAGGCCGCTGGCGACTTGGGATGTGAAGATCCTCCACTGCGGTACGAGCCTGATAACGACGACTGTTTCCAGGTAAAGGAGTGCAGTACAGAGAAAATTACTTCAGACTTGCCGTTGGTGATTGACGGACTAGAGCTCAATGCTTTGATCGATACTGGTGCGGATTATTCTGTGATAAGTTACGAATTAGCGAAGCGACTCAAGAAAGTTCTGACCGAATGGGGTGGACCTCAAGTACGTACTGCAGGTGGTCACCTCATAACCCCTTCCGGCCGATGTACCGCAAGGGTCATGATACGGGGCTTCACTTACGTCGGTGACTTTGTCGTCCTGCCTGTGTGCTCGAGGGAAGTGATACTGGAATGGATTTCCTACAAGCTAATGGTGCGATTATCAATTTACAGAGGTCGAGCGTGTCCTTTTCGACGGAGCAAGCTTTAAAGGTAGCACGATCAGATGAACGATGTACCACTCCACTGCGCGTCGTCGACGATGATGTGACTGTACCGCCACGGAGCAGTATAATGGTTCTCGTGCATAATGATGCATTCAGCGACTACGAGGGTGTGGCGGAGAGCAACGTGGATGTTTTCTTGAAAAGAGGCGTTTGTGTGGCACGAGGGATTATCCAGCTGCGAAACGGGTGCACAGACATCCTCTTGACGAATTTCGGTAACGAATTCCAGCACATCGCAAAAGGGACGGCAATAGCGTTTCTTCATGAGTTCTGTGAAGTGACAGAAATATGCAGTCTTGAAACGACGTCACCGAATGTGAAACTTCCATCTGATGCCTGCGACACAATATACGTAAATCCTAATCTTTCAGAGATTCAACGTCAACAGCTATACGACCTCGTGCGGGAATTTGGCAGCTGTTTCTCCAACAGTTCAAAGGTACGGCGCACGAGCATTACAAAACACAGGAT